AAAAAAAAAAAAAAAAAAAAAAAAAAAAAAAAAAAAAAAAAAAAAAAAAAAAAAAAAAAAAAAAAAAAAGCAGAAGTATTTGTTGCAGGAAATTAGAAAACTCAGATTTTTAAAAATTTTTCTGTATTGTATATTATACTTCCATTAGTTTATCTGAAATTCTTAATGCAACTTAAATACAAAAAAAGAAAAATTATCAAGATGCAAAACTTGTTTCTCTTCATTAAATAGAGCCCTCCCCAACCTCACTCCAAAAACAAAATTGCAAGATCTGCTACTATGTGACATATTTCCCTCCTGTCTTTTTACCCAGCTGAGGTCACATTCAGTGTTGCTGCCTTTCACTCAGTATTACTAAAGAAGTTTCTCATCAAAACAGCTCACTGATAATGGAGTTTAAAAGTTTCGCGATATCGAAGCCAGGCATGGCAGCTCACGCCTGTAATCGAGCACTCTGAGGGGCTAACGCGGGTGGATCACCTGAGGTCAAGAGTCCAAGACCAGCCTGGCCATTGTAATGAAACCCCATCTCTACTAAAAGTACAAAAATTAGCCAGGCATGGTGGCAGGCGCCTGTAGCCCCAACTACTTGGGAGGCTGAGGCAGAAGAATTGCTTGAACTCAGGAGGTGGAGATTGCAGTGAGCCGAGATCACACCATTATACTCCAGCCTGGTAACAAGAGTGAAACTTCTGTCTCAAAAAAGAAAAAAAGTTATGCACTATCTCAGTAACTTCCTGACCCATGAGCCAGCAAACATTCTTTGTAAAGGGCCAGATTGTTTGTTTAGTTACCCAGCTAGCTAGCTAGAGACAGAATCCTCCTTGGTGACCCCGGCTTGAGTGCAGTGGCATGACCACAGCTCACTATCACCTCGACCTCCTGGGCTCAAGCGATCCTCCTGCCAGCCTTCCAAGTAGCTCGGACCACTGGTGCATGCCACCATGCCCGGCTAATTTGTTAATTTTTATTTTTGTAGAGACAAGTTCTCATTATGTTACCTAGGCTGGTCTTGAACTCCTGGACTCAAGGAATCCTCACCTCGGCCTCCCAAAGCGCAGGGATTACAGGTATGGGCCACCCGCCAGCCGCCAGCCAGGTAGTCAATATTTTATGCTTTATGGTCACAGAGTCTAGGCTGCAGCTACTCAGCTCTGCTGTTGGACAAAGTAGCTACAGGTGATATGCAAATGAAGGGGGTGTGGCTGTGTTCCCAAACAACTTTTATTTCCGGACACTGAAATTTCAATTTCATGAAGTTTTCGTGCTATGAAATATTCATTCTTCTTTTGACTCTTTTTAAGCCACTTAATGTAACAACCTACCCTTAGCTCACTGGTCTTTATAATTGCCTATTTTGCCTACTCCCGAATATTTGAGTTGCTGCCTATTTTTTGTTCTAAATAATGATGCAAAGAACATCTGTGAACACAGATCATTTTTAAGTGATTTTGGTTTGCTTTTAAAGGGTAGAGTTCTAGAAGCATTATCATTGACTAAAGTAGTTGGTAAAGGAAAATAAAGCCAGGCACAGTGGTTCATGCTTGTAGTCTCAGCACTTGGAGAAGCCAAGGCAGGTAGATCACCTGAGCCCAGGATTTCGAGACCAAGCTTGGTAACGTGGTCAAAACCTGTCTTTACAAAAAAAAATTAGCTGGGCAGGGTGGCAAGCACCTATAGTCCCAACTACTTGGGAGGCTCAGATGGGAGGATCACTTGAGCCTGGGGAGATGGAGTCCGCAGTCTGGTCTGGGTGACCGAGTGAGACAAGAAGAAGAAAGAAAAAGAGGAAGAAAAAGAAGAGAAGGAAGAAGAAGGAAGAAGAAAAAAGGAAGAGGAAGGAAGGTGAAGAAGGAAGGAGGAGGAGGAGGAAGGAGGAGGAGAAGAAGAAGAGGAAGAAAGAGAGAAAGAAAGAAAAGAAAGAAGGCGGAGGAGGAAGAATAAAGAAGAAAGAGAAGGAAGAAGAAGGAAGAAGAAAAAAGGAAGAGGAAGGAAGGTGAAGAAGGAAGGAGGAGGAGGAGGAAGGAGGAGGAGAAGAAGAAGAGGAAGAAAGAGAGAAAGAAAGAAAAGAAAGAAGGCGGAGGAGGAAGAATAAAGAAGAAAGAGAAGGAAGAAGAAGGAAGAAGAAAAAAGGAAGAGGAAGGAAGGTGAAGAAGGAAGGAGGAGGAGGAGGAAGGAGGAGGAGAAGAAGAAGAGGAAGAAAGAGAGAAAGAAAGAAAAGAAAGAAGGCGGAGGAGGAAGAATAAAGAAGAAAGAGAAGGAAGAAGAAGGAAGATGATGATCTCGGGATCCCAGCTCACGATGCCAAAAGGAAAAACTTAAGCTAGAAGCTGAGTCATGCCAACAGCTGCCTTCCCTTTTGTTCATAAGCAGGTAGCTACAGATGAAAGTGTTAAATATTTGCACAGCTATTCTCTGTTCACCTTCCCTTATGTACAGTGCTGATTTATTGAGCAAGGATGAATACCTAAGTGACTCTCCCCCTCCCTGCTCCTTTTCTCTTGCAGGTTGTGGGTTCAGTCACGTGACCATACCCTCCCTCTTTCCCTTCCAGAGGGCTTTTCTCCTTTAAACCAAGGGAGGCAGAGCATCAGGACAAATACCTAATGCATGTGGGGCTTAAAGCCTAGATGACGGGTTGATGGGTGCAGCAAACCTCCATGGCACATGTATACCTACCTAACAAGCCTGCACGTTCCGCACATGGGTCCCAGAACTTAAAGTAAAATAAAAATAAATAAACATTGAAGCTTTCAGAATCATCTCTGGAAAAAGACCCAGAGCACAGATTGTTCTATGGATGTCTGTTCCTGTGGACATGCCAGGTATGTCCTTAACCTTGGCAAAGTAAACTTCGAAATTGATTGAGACCTCTCTCAGATACTTTTTGATTTGCCGAACATGAATGCTTTTAGGGCAGGAGAGCAACCCTGGGATCTGGAGCTGGCAACTTTCCCTTCAACCCTGGGATGCCCACCTTGGGAAGACGGCATGGAGGTCCCGCTACCTACCTTCCTCACCAGTACAGGACTGGGCCTCAGAAGGGACAGGGATGTGTCTAAGGCTCCTCACGCCATCCCTGGTAACGAGGTACAGCTGAGAGCTGGGGGGGGAAGAAGACAGCGTCAGATGTGTCATTTTCATTCATTCATTACACAAGTAACACCTTGAGCTGCCAGAGCTTGGCACAGGAGCGAATTCTACCCTGAAGGGGACCAGGCTTCAGGCAGTGGACACGCTGGTGGGTGATACTCCACGGGCACAGGGACAGAGGCTGAGGACCACAGACGGTGACAAGTGCTGTGAGAAACCCACATGGAGGATAGCATAGCACAGACTGTCTCAGGGACAGAGCGGGCGTTCCCTAACTGTGGTAGGGGGAGTTCTCTGCAGAAGCGACATTTGAGCAGAGGCCCAGAGGATGAGAAGGAGTCACTGTTCCAGACAGAGGACACAGCACGAGCAAAGGCCCTGGGATAGGAACGAGGTGGCCACTTTAGGAGTATGGAAAGAAAGCTAGCTGGGGAGTGTCAGGATGGGGGCGGACAGTGAGGGAGGGGCAGGGAACAGGGGAAGGAGGGAGGGGGGAGGAGGGAGGAGGAAGGTGGGCAGAGTCCCCATAGGGCAGGACAAGGCCAAGGATGCAGGTAGGTGGGGCAGCCTGGACTCACTCTCGTTCCCTCTGAAATTGTCCCTCTCTGAGTCACCTCCCTAGGTGTCACAGACAAGCACACCCCAGAGGGATCCCAGGAAAGAGGTGAGGGTCTGAAAGTTCTCCAGCTGTCACCCCTAGGCTGCCCACAGTCCCTGTCATAGACACACCCACCCTTTACAGTCACAGACATGCACACTCGTGGACACACACGCACTCCCACAAATGCTCACAGACATGAGACACCTCCACTCCCACAATGCTGCTCACTGGCACACTCACTGACACACAGACACACCCCCATGCACACAGCAGCTCATACATGCCCTCTCATATGCCTGATCACGTGTGCTCACAGACACAGGCTCATGGGTGCACAGTGTAACACACATGCGTACTAATGTCACATCCACACCCATGCACACCTCCATGTGCACTCGCAGACATGTGATCACACACTCACAAGCACTCACGCACGCACGCACACACACACACACTCACATGCTCTTTCGTGCTCATGGTTCCCTGCCTGCTGGCGCAGGGCACCCACCTGAAGCTGAGCAGCTCCACAGCCTCCTCGGGCGTGTTCAGATGCACCTTGAGGTCCCGGCCCTTCTGCATCTGGATCCCTCCATCCAGGCTGGCGGCGCTGCGGACGCTGGTCACCCACCTCAGCCCAGCCTGCCCCAAGGCTCCCGTTGTGCCCATCTCAGCCGAGATCTGGAGCAGGGCACTGAGGGACAGGCACATACCAGCTGCATCTCAAGGGCCCTGGAGCCACAGACCCCCACCCACCGCCCCCAGCTGCCCCCTCCACCACC